AGATCAGCAGACCACGCCGCCCTTGACTTCGGATGAGATTGCAGGCTCACGCGACGCGAACGAGACTACCGTCTCACGTTCCGGTCGCCGAGTACGGTTGCCCGTACGCTTCCGCGACTAGTCGCACAGTCAACAACCGATACGGTGTAGGACTATTCCTATGCTACATGCATGCTACACTCTTCTCTTCTTTGATTTTCGTTTTGTTTCCTGAGCCTACACCTTCGACCATCTCCGTTTGGTTCCGTCGACTTCAGTCAACCTTGGCGAAAGCTGGACTGGCCACCCATGCTCTTGTTAACACACTCAGTCGATATATTGGTTTCGAATGCTTGGCATACGCTTGGTCTCGAACTTGGTCGTTACGGTCTCTTCTGGTCTTTTGGCTCAACGTGGTTTCGTCCTACGTCTGCAGCGTTTCTTGTCCGCATTCCCTACGAACGCAATCTTCAGATTCTGGATACAAACCACTCTGGTGTAGCATGCCAACTCAAGCAATAAATACAGCACATCGCTCCTGGTACCGTTCTCCGAAAACGACATTCGTTGGCAACTCGGCGATCAACGATCGCTCTCCTGTTCGCCGATTCTTCCGTCCTACAATCGCTCGTCAGCCGATTAGTCCCACGATTCAAACCGCTATTTATCGAAAGTGTAAACCCTTTTTAGCGGGGGGCTCCTGTAGTGACTCACATTTATCACGAGAACACGACTGGTTTAATAAAAACAATTATTATTATAACCAACTGTACCAGTGTTTGTTTTAATGTGCTTTTGTTTGACTGTGCTAATGACAGCTACTTTGTGCTTCCATTCTTATTCTTACACACTTTGATTGTAACTTCGCGAGAATTCGGTTACGTTCTGTAACCAAGCTTGCATCCTGGCACGATCTCGGTATCCTTTCGATGCCACGAGATCGCCAGCGAATATATCTCGATTTGGTCCATTAACTGTCTTCTGATATTTGGCTTCTCGAGGATTTTATGGATTTCATTGGTTACGTTCAACATACGCCTTCTAATTTTCTTGGCACTTGTTTCTTTGTAGCGGTGTTCATAGTTAATCTCAACTCGACACCACGCTACAAGTTCTGCAAAGTGGTATCTTCTCATTCCCACAGTTATTTTACTGGTCCTTTCACTGCACATATCGCCCGAACATTCCATTTACCTGCGTTGATTGTTGCTCCAGTTGTTAGAAGGGGTATCGACCTCTTGACTTCCGAAGTATCTCAGCTTTCACCATGAGGCGTCATTGTTGAGTCGACTTCCATAGAACTTCAACGGAGCCTCCAGAAGCCCAAAAGGAGCCGAAGAGTCCTAGACAATCAGAGCATGATGGAGCACTCTAGAACTCCAACGCGGCGTGCTACTATTGGTCAGTAGCGTAGTATGTCGCTGACGGATTGGCCGATATATGATGTTGATTTAAAAAACGTTAACATCTATAAATACCCATGTTTTCTGTACAAAAACGAACCTTGGAGTAAAGTGTCTCTCCCATACTTTTGCGTCTTCTTTCTGGTGTTCAGGTCGATGTGTAGTTCTAGCGTGCGGGTTATCGGAACAGCTTAGGAACGAATATAGCGTTCAGTCGACAAGACTTAACAGTTATAACTCTTCTAAATGAAGATCCTTCAACTTCTAGAGCACAGTTTAAATGGTTTAGTTTTTTTTCTGGTTAGCTATGTTGATTAGAAGTATTCAAATCATTGTATTAACTAGGAATTCTCGAAATAGTGCAATTGAAGCTAAATAGAAGTAGGTTATCACAAATGAATGCACTGTATTTGGAATTCGATATCAAACATGAATCAAGTACAAAGTAATCATTAGTCCACACAAACATCACTATTGCCACAGCTTAAATTGGAGTCTAAATTTCTGCAATCTGTTATATTTTATCCTTAGATTTGTTGAATGTCTGCCAGACTGTATTGGATGTAGATTATATATGCTCTGGAATGTACTGATTAGTATAAGAATATTGGAGAAGACTCACCTGGTTTCTTGTGACTCTTTTGGTTTCATTCACTAGCCCGCATATGAACCACAGATTTATTAACTTGCATTAGTGGATCTTCAATGAGTTGTGGAGAAGGAGTTATTCTACGAAGATTTTTTTTATTTAAGCGATCGCTGTATTGTTTGAGTACGGTTTAGTAATTCTCACTGAGTGACTTTATCCGCTATCCTCTGGGTCACTTAACTTTGCAGCAGTGGTAGAATAGACATTTACTTTCAAGGTCTTGAAATTTCTTGCTTGCACATGGGAATGAATGGACGAAATATCGTATATAATTTTCCACACTTCGATTCCGTAGTTAGCAAGTTACCAATCACTTCATTAGGTACATTTGCAGTCTTTAATATAGAAAGCTGACCCTAAAGCATTATTAAAATTTCCAGACATAGTGCAGACGTTCCACGCTCATTGATGAGAAATTTACGGCTGAAGATTTATCATCTCTGATTAACAAATTACAACAATGTGATTATTTGAATTATAGTATAGACAAGAAATCCAAGAATAACACAGTTTAATCAAGAAGAACTACATGGATATGAACGAACGTATTGCATTTGTAATTCGGAATCAAGTATTCATCAAGTACAAAGAAATCATTAGTTCATGCAAACACCACATCCGCCACAACTTATATTAAAGTCTAAGTGTCTGTAATCGATTGTACGTCTTCTTCACCAGTTCATCCTGTGTATTGGATAAGGACTCTGTATAATCTAGAATGTACTCATTAGTATTAGAATTAACAACGAGAATTGGGACAAAATCACCTGGTTTGTGGAATTGTATCTGATCAACATATCGCTTTTGTGTACTTAAATCGTTGATATCTAGAATTCGACTCATGGATTTCTCAACAGTGTTCACCACGATTCCAGTGGCTAGTTAACGATCATTTCCACGATAAAATGCAACTACTGCAGACTCCAAACACTTCACATTGGAACGAAAAATTCTTCCCTTTAATTGCTTGGATGGAGTCTCTTTCGTCTCCGAATTTTTGGCATTTCTATATTGCAGTAGGAATGTGTTTGCTCACTCTCCAGTTCACTAAATGTTGAATCCGCAGTAGAACCGATGGCAGTTTACAATGTCCTGACGAAACTTTCCGCATGACCATTAGAACAAGAGTGCCTGGGAGCTGTGAACAGATGCTTGCACCCCATACCATTCAACCAGATATTGAGTGAGTCTGCAGCAAAATGAGAGCCATTATCAGCCAATAATACCATAGGAACGCCTTTCCGACTAAATACCCTTATTATTGCTTGAATTGTGAAGTCAGAATTTGGTGAAGTTGTGGAAGAAACTTCAGGTCACTTTGAAAAAGAAGCAATGACTACAAGTTCATAGTATTTGTTAAGAAATGGATCACAATAGTCTGCATGAATTCTCTGCCCGGCCTCAGATGATACTGGCCATGGAGTAAACTTCGAAGGCTGACATTTTGACTTATGACATTTTCTACAATTGTTCGCTGTACGACATATATCTGAAATTATCTCCGGTCACCAACATGTGTGCCTTGTCAAAGACCTAATTTTCTCAACACCTAAATGTTCACTATGAAGATCTTCAAGAAAAGATTTACGTAATGTAGGAGGGATAAGTGTAAGGAGTCGTTCAATAAAGATTGGAAAATGAAGATTCTTTGTTTGACTGCACAATTAGTGTTTGAGTGTGTTGCCGTGTTGGTCACATCTGCCATGCTATGGTAAGTGTGACGACAAACGACCGATGAAACGAACGAGGGCTACTAGCTAACCGTGAGTAAGTACGAATGTTGTGTTGATAAGCTGTCGAAGGTTATTGGGGTTAGACTTCCTCACTTCTACTAATCCTAGTGGTCTTCGAATGGGTTATCAACGTAACATTTGGCCTTCAGTGACGCAATGAGTTACTGTTCACAAGCAGTCAAACTCATGTTTGTCCAGCGTTCACAGTTAGTTATTAGTTTTTCTGATATGATATCGATTATGAGAGCTGATAACTGACAAATTATTTTATCTACGTATCTAGCACTGAGGAAACTCGTGTAGCTGATCCTTCAACGTAATGACCATTACAATTGGATTCTGTCATGTCGAAAAGAACTGTTGACGATAGTTGACTAGTATACGGTAAGTCTGTTTTGTGATGGTAATAGAGTTACCGTCTGACTAAATAGTGACAAACATTTAACTGAATTTAATTAGTTGCTCTGTACTCAACTGATTAGAATTCTCTGTTTTACAGGTTGTCCTGTTAGAAATGAATTTTACCTAACATCCGGACTCATCGATGATTACTTTCTATGCGCTTAGTACTTGGTCATTTGTCGTGCATGGTGTCAGATAATATCGCGAAATCTACTTTAGGTGAGTTTTGTTTAGTGATGTTTTATGGAATTACCGTCTGAACAAATGATGACAGTAATTCGTCTGATCATAGAGTACTCTTACTTGATTAACTAGTCAATACTTTTTAAATTTCAGATGGCTATCAATAGAAGACGCGAAAAGGAAATACTTCTGACTCGTTCTGTTATGTCTTACAATAAATGTGCTTAAAATAAATGCTTTTTTTCACGACGACCACCCGTTAAGTGGTTGCGCGTTGGCTATCATATGAAGTTCGTTCGCCTTTATCTAAACAGTGGGCTTGTTTGTTTATGAGTTTGACTCCGCTGTAGGAATAGCTCATGCACTGCGTTTGTAACATTGACTAGTTTTTGCTGATTAGACGTCCTGTAGTAAGTAGAATATAATTTTCCGAATCTGCGTGCCTGCTTGGTTGTTTATCAATCAGTCCTACAGCACGTCGAATTGTGTTGCAGTGGCCATCCTCGAAGTAGTCACTTGATGCTTTTCAGCTCACAGTTAGTCATGTATGAATCAGTTTGAGACGTAGCAGTTTTTCGCTTGTCTATCTAGTTAATGCATCAAATCCTGCGATATTGTATATATCACCGCATTAGGGTACTTTTGGTTTGTCGGGTCTTCGTCCACTCTAGTTTGCACGGTATGAAAGTTACGGGTTACTTCCACATACACTTCACGGACTGGGGTGACATTAGTATGAAGTAGTGTGTGTATGCTGAATAATGAAAACCGGCTGTTAGGGAAGAGCTTTTATTTCCTAGTTGGTTTAGTTTTCTTCTGGCTCGGTTCTGAATTCGATATGTCCGTATATTTCAAGTACACGTGTGCGAGATCGATCGGCTGTAAACAAAAAATCAGGAAGCAGTGTCATGTTTGAGTTTATTAGGAATACTAGAAGTTATATAAAATGAAGGGACGACGAAAATTCCAGAAAGTGAATTCCGACTTCTGCCTAGATAATCAGTTTGAGTTGCGCCTAGCAGTCAGGAGTCGCCGTAGTACTCGAGGGTTTGGGATGCTGACGTACCTATATTGACTGTGACACGGGTCTGATGTGATCCTTGTTAAAGCGCTTGTTGACAGTACACAGCTTGTTTGTGTTTCCAAAGGTGTGGGAGGGGTTACAAGTTGCACGGTTTTGGGTCCACGCCCTGTCAGTGCAATATTTAGCTGTTTTGTGTTAGTATGTATTTCTCTCATGCTTACGATTTATTTGGGTAGCTCCCTACTTAGTTCTGCTCGAACGATTGGCTATTTCCTGACAGCCAATGACTATTACGTACTATCCGACACGTCTCCGCATATTGTCTGCGAACAAACAAAGCCGTATATTTCAGTTGACCCGAAACAAATTACTGAGACCAAACTAAGTCACGGGATTGAGGATTTCAACAATGTACACCTGACTGGGTTCTGAAGAGTACTTGCAATTAGCGGTTGCAGACCTAATATGGTAAACTTAGGAAGGTGATATTGTATCCAGATATGAATGTGTGGAAAATCTGGTAGATTTATGCTAGGTACAGGACTACAAACACAGTTTCTGGTTCGGAATCTGACTTTACGAATCTACTGGCATATTCGCGGTCTCAAGGTTTTCCATCTTTGTCGTTCGTTAGCATTTTGGCATGGGGTATATTCAATATATAAAATACAAGCAGGACAGTCGTTCAACCTGCAGGTTGAAAACTCATGGTTGTTTCAGAACTGTAAGTTTGTTTGAACTGAGAAAAAATGGAATGTTTTATGACATCAAATGTGAAGGGAAGTTCCGAGGATTAATCATAACAATTGCATCACTTAAAAATGTGGTGAGACGTGACCAGTTGTAATGGTCTCCAATCTCCCAAGTTTGGGGAAACCCATAAAGTCAAATGAGTTTTGCCAGGGTTAAGGGGAAGTATTGGGGAATCTCTCTAAGTCTGGGAAAACTTAGGGGTTTTAGTGCCATTTCCCCAGTTAATAGCGGCTTCCCCAAAATGGGTCAAATTTTCCCCGAAATTGGGAACTCGCAGTCGAAATGATCATTTCGAATGCGTAGACTTCTGTTGGTTAGTGATTGACGGAGCGTTAGCATTCAGATAGTGCATTCAAGTAAAATGTTCATTTTTTGGTATAGTGAAGTGTGTTTTAACATGTTGAACAGCAGAATAGAGCGCTAACCTACAGTAAATATCTTGTGACTGGTCTGAAAGTCAAGTTTTTGTTATTTGCACTTTGACCAGATGGTAATTCTGGGTGGAAGGACTTGTGATTAACAAGGACGTTATTTTGAATTCGTAAAATGAACAATTGTTGTGATATATTGAAATGAGCTTTGGGTATATTTAAATGATATTGTAATTAGTGGATGAATTGTTTTGTGGCTCTTAGAATGTCAGCATGGGGATTGTTTAGTTTCATTAGAATCACGAACCGATCTAAGTCACACAGCCACTAACGTGAAATTACTGGACGGCCGTTTTGTGATAGAGTGAGACTCATTATTGTTACTTCACAACCACACCACACATGATTAAAATCAGGACCTTCGGTCTTATGTGTGGACGCTTAACCTCTAGACAACTCAGTCTCGATTCAATGTTTTGCAAGTCTGGCTTTGATCAATCCACAATATTGCGCGACCATCTTCTATTGCCTTCAGTGGGTACCTTCCACACACCTGACATGGCTTAGCTCCTCTTGTCAAGGCTTTCACTAGAACTCCGGGAATTTCTCAAAGCTAGTCAGTAGTAAGGACATTATAATTCCCAGTTTAGAATTGTGCAGATTGGTTTGACTAAATAATGAAAGAGCCAACCCGAATAGTTACTCAATGTTTGTCCTGGGTGTTTGGAAGAATTAGGGGTGTTACGACATAGTTATGTTGTATACCCTAGATCTTTAGTTTCATTATTCACAATTCTGGCTTGTCAGAAGTCCTTTGTACGATGGTTGTCGATTTCAGGTCTATTTTAATAAATCATACAGTTGTCCTGCTTGTTTATGAAGAGAGTTCAATAAACAGGTGTAGGTTTATTACTTGACGGAAATTATTCCACTTTTTTTAGAATAAGTATGTTCCATTTTTACTTATAGACGTGATTTAATCATCACTGTATGTTTCAAGTAGTTGAAGTAAATTAATTTACCAGTTATGTTCCTTCATATTAGAGAGATGCATGTAAGTGACAGTTCGTTACTATTCTGAATTGATAGTTTACAATCAGTCAGTGTTATTTTAACTTGTTCGATATGGTTGCTAAAGGAAAATAAAAGTCTGGAACTTACAGGTTCGGGTGTTTGCTTTTCAGGTTTTCGCATATTATTTCCTGTGTACGCTACGCATTTTAATTGCCATTCACCTATATCCTCGTTCCACTGTACATTTTGTTCAATGAGAGCCTGAAATACAAATTATGGATTCTGTGATTCGTTTATGCTTCATATAACGTCTAATTTGGTCACAAGTGATAGCACTACAAAGTATTGAGAAATGTTATTTCAAAATACTTATTATTCGACCTGGTCAATGTATGCTACTATTGCTCGTCATACTACATCAATAAAAAATTATCCTGTTTTGAATGCTTCTCATACGTGATGTACTCTAGTTGAATAAAGAAAACTAAATATGAAAACATGCTTAAATATAGAGTTGATTTCGAACTCAGGGATCTATCACAACTATTTTTGTTTCTGTTTGAATGTAGATTTATAAGCCTCAATGGTTGAGATGAAGTGGACAGACTTTTCTTTTATTATTGTACATAACAAATTTCATGACATTTTCTACTGCTTTTAGATGTACTCATGTCATAATGCAAGTAGTTTTACACATCTAGACGATTACATTTCCAAGCAAAGCTATGTAGAGACTAGCAGTGGGATCCGGGATGCGCATTTCGTCCTGTTCGGAATTTGTCAGTTAGATGTGCATGAATCACGGTGTTGATGTTAAAACCAGGACTCGAACCCAGTGGAATTCGCTCCAAGCATTAAACGCATTATCCGCTTAGCTAATGAGTCCGGAAAGCCACTACCTTGTGCACACACACCCGATTGACGAGTCTCAAACAAGACGAAATGCTCGTCTTAGATTCCACTGGTAGCCACTTTGCTTGAAAATGTTAATGAGTTGATGGCAATATCCAGGCGAAGCTCGCAGGCTGCACTCATTTCAAAACAGACTTGCCAGTTATAGTCTCTGATTTGAACGACCAGTAGATCCAACTTTCATGGATGAATTATAGATTACATTTCCAGTATGATTTTTTTCCTACCATATGGAATATACATCGTTCTGTTATGACTGCAAGAAATCTTATTTATATGTGATTTATTTCTTTTCTAAATAACTATTTCTTATTTTATTTATCGTGGTCCGCTACTCAGATCCCTTAATCTGAACACTTAAAGTTTACTTTATTGGATTATTTGAATGTTCAATTATCCACCGTTACACTACTGATGGTGTTTTTTAATTTATAAGAACATTAGTTTCACATATGCAAGTGTTTCTAATTTGTTGCTAAACTAACAGATTTTTGATTGATTCGTAGTCATATTCTTGAAATATGAGTCACCAAAGAAACATAACATTACTTTGAGTATTATTAAAATTAGAGTACTGTCAAGTGTATAACTTTTAATTTTTGATTTACTGATTGCAGATAAATGTACTTTTCGTTAGCTAAAGACGAGTTATTCAACTGTCGTTTGGACTATTAACCTGTTTTGGCTTTCAGTAAATACACTTTGATTGTTTGGAATCATGATTATGACTTTACAGAATTATATGAGAATATGATATTTTAGTTATTGAAGATAACCTAATACTTATGTAAGATATTTCTTCTGAAGGACAGCTGACGAATCATGATGCGCTGGGAACATCGAATCGGCTCTTTATCAGTGAAGAAAGCTTTCCAATCTTTAAGATGCTCATGCACAACTAATAAGTGAAGATAAGCAGAACTTAGGTACTATTATTATATTTTAAAACGACTTTAAAATACAGAAAGAATCTAATCGTATCCAGTGGTAGAGCCTTATTTATAAGCAATTGTATTTATCTATAGTTTAGTTTATACAGCTTGAAATAATCAAATTCTGGTTATTAGTAAACATGTGGTTAAGATTTAGAAAACCTAAGGCTTTTTTTAATTTAAGTGTTTGACTGTAATTCCTTACATTATTTCAAACTAGTCTCCATATCCAAGAGAGTAAGCCACGAGATATGTCAAATATTAAGTTTGATCTACAGCTCATTTGACGATTTGTACTAAACAATCAATAGTTACTGTGTAGAGAATGGCAATACACTCATTATGGTATATCTAATTTTCATCGTAAGTTTTAAAAACGTTGAAAAAATGTCTAGACGATGAATTAAAGAATTTAAGCGATTTCACTTAAGCGACGATAAAGAACGTATTACTTTTTGTATCCTTCCATGATAATACTTATTAATTAGTATTTAAACATCATTCCGTTATCAAAATAAAGCATTAACATGGAATCAGTCATTTAAAAAATAATTAGCACTACTTTGATTAGCTCTAGTTAAGATAATTTCCAGAAATTAATCATAAAAACTCATGTTGGATGTAAGCATTTTAACTTCCACTATCTTGTTGTTCTGCGTAAAATTTATCAGTTCTGATATATCAGATATTCACTGTTTTCTAATCAATAAGTGAGTTGATTTTGTTTGTTCAAATTAATACATGATTAACTAATTATGCCTGAAATGGTTTCGAGTTTCAAGAAAATTCTCGAGGGTCGACTGGTTTCATTAGTTTCAAATAGTAGTTGATTACGGGTAATGTTGCTAGTCCTCAAACAGTAATTATAGTGTAGTGACTTGTATAGAAGCCGAGATTTTATTACAAAATTGGTCTAACGTTGCCTCGTTATCATAGAATGTGTTTATCTGAGAAATAATATAAATGCAGAAAAATAGCTCCTTTCATTAATTACTTGGTATGATTGTGGAATAAATCGATCGATGATTAGAGTATAACGAGCCAATTCTCTTTCCAATTGACGTATATTATCTACTAAGCCTTCCATTTCACGAACGTGTTCATTTTTCATATCTTCAAGTTCCGACTTGGCTTGCAAATATATTGTACTTAATTTACGTAGTTTTTTACGCTTCCCGGCAGCTTCTTCCTAGATTAAGTAAAAAATCAGAGCCGCCTATTAAAATAATACCAATACAAGAAAAAATGACAAATAATTTCAAACTAGAAGTCAGAATTGTCATTGAAAGAACATAATGTCTCAGGGCAGTTTCCGTTGGTAATTCAATGACGTGTGGTAATCAGCCCGTAGTTGTTAACATTGTTCTATTTCATGTTACCTCGATTTGAATTATTTGATTATATGATAAATAGTAGTGATAGTCCTTTAACACAAAATGGAAGTGGGTTTTCATTTAGTCGCGAATCATGCTACATGAAGTTAATTATGAGTTTTAAACGGGACAAATACAGAAAAGTTTTCAGAATAAAACGGATTCTTTTATTGCATGACTTCCTATCAGTTGCAAACAGCCTTATATATATGAACCAATTAAGCTACAGGAGAGCTTATCAGTGTCACTTTGATTTTCCCATCGATTCTTCCTGAGATCTCATCTCCCTTGAACAAAAGACAGATGATAACAGTTTTTTTGTAAATAGTCTGTTGTTTATGATCATATAGAAAAATTAAAACTGATCAGCATATCTCGATTAACATAGCATAAGAAGTAGTATTATTCTACGCAGCAAATTTTGATTTAAGCTTCAAGGGAAATAAAAGGCTTAAAGCCATATCAATATTTGGAAGACAGTGGAAGGTAAAGACTAATGGTATGATTTAATTCTGCATCTTTACTAAAACCTAAACAATTGGATCACTCAGTTTCCTGAGTTTGATACTATTAGAATAACCAGTAATTACAAGTGTAGTGATGTAAAACATATAGGATGAATGGGTGGCTGGAAGTAATAAATATCAATCAGAGACAGTTACGAGTTACATCATTTGACAATTTTCAGTAATTTAAGTCTGAGGACTTTAGCTCGTCGAAGAAAGTCAGAGCCAGTGTTCATAATTGCTCACAACCATAATGTGCAAATTTAAGTATAGTATTACAAATAACTACATGAAGTACTTATATTTGTAGTTTTTAATATTATATATGTTAACAAAACAGGTGATCTGAATATTATGGTCAAAAAGCTATCCACAATTCTAAAATAATTTAGTTTGTTTATTCTTCTGCTACTATAATGTACAATCGTTCAAATAATTAAACCGTACATAATTAAGTCGAAGAGATCTGCATGAGTACTAACCATTTGCTTACGATGATTTGTATGGATAGAGCTATTCATATAAATGAAGTCAATCATTTGCATGTATGTTCAGTTGAATATTCGCCAATGAATTCAGTCGCTATTTACATTAGATATAACACAAAGAGGCAGACCTTTTAGCAATTTACTAATTTGGAGCTGTCCGTAAGCTACCGATAAGTTGGAAAATAAATTGTGAATAGTTATATCTTGACATAAGTTTAATTAATTCCTGCCGTAGGAGTACTTGTAAATTTATTACGATCTCACAATTTTGTAAGATCTACAAAGAGGGAACATTCGTGTAAGGTATAGTGCAAAATAGAGAAGACTTCTTAATTACAGAAAGGTGTCGCGCAATAATTTTAAGAAATGGTTAGAGACGTTGGGTGACATGGTGCAAAATAAAACTCAGTTGTATTCATCCTATATCTTTTTCTAAATCTCTCATGTTTAGATTTTCTATTGTACTTGAAATTAAATCCTCTCCTTCGCCTATTATCTTGTGATAACAGACCAATACATTTTTGTGCTGGAGTTGATGATGACTGAGCAGCAAATTTTGATTTAAGCTTCAAGGGAAATAAAAGGCTTAAAGCCATATCAATATTTGGAAGACAGTGGAAGGTAAAGACTAATGGTATGATTTAATTCTGCATCTTTACTAAAACCTAAACAATTGGATCACTCAGTTTCCTGAGTTTGATACTATTAGAATAACCAGTAATTACAAGTGTAGTGATGTAAAACATATAGGATGAATGGGTGGCTGGAAGTAATAAATATCAATCAGAGACAGTTACGAGTTACATCATTTGACAATTTTCAGTAATTTAAGTCTGAGGACTTTAGCTCGTCGAAGAAAGTCAGAGCCAGTGTTCATAATTGCTCACAACCATAATGTGCAAATTTAAGTATAGTATTACAAATAACTACATGAAGTACTTATATTTGTAGTTTTTAATATTATATATGTTAACAAAACAGGTGATCTGAATATTATGGTCAAAAAGCTATCCACAATTCTAAAATAATTTAGTTTGTTTATTCTTCTGCTACTATAATGTACAATCGTTCAAATAATTAAACCGTACATAATTAAGTCGAAGAGATCTGCATGAGTACTAACCATTTGCTTACGATGATTTGTATGGATAGAGCTATTCATATAAATGAAGTCAATCATTTGCATGTATGTTCAGTTGAATATTCGCCAATGAATTCAGTCGCTATTTACATTAGATATAACACAAAGAGGCAGACCTTTTAGCAATTTACTAATTTGGAGCTGTCCGTAAGCTACCGATAAGTTGGAAAATAAATTGTGAATAGTTATATCTTGACATAAGTTTAATTAATTCCTGCCGTAGGAGTACTTGTAAATTTATTACGATCTCACAATTTTGTAAGATCTACAAAGAGGGAACATTCGTGTAAGGTATAGTGCAAAATAGAGAAGACTTCTTAATTACAGAAAGGTGTCGCGCAATAATTTTAAGAAATGGTTAGAGACGTTGGGTGACATGGTGCAAAATAAAACTCAGTTGTATTCATCCTATATCTTTTTCTAAATCTCTCATGTTTAGATTTTCTATTGTACTTGAAATTAAATCCTCTCCTTCGCCTATTATCTTGTGATAACAGACCAATACATTTTTGTGCTGGAGTTGATGATGACTGAGTGAGTGTGTAGCATGGCATAGGACCTTTTATCTTTCTATGTTGGCAATTAGAGTAGCATTTATCAACGTCAGCTTTTTTTTAATTTGACAGTACATTTTTAATAACCATATCGTAAATTACAAACAGATAATTTAATGCAAAAACTTGAACAAAGATGTATCAATTTTAGTAATATCGATTTTCAGTAGTATAGACGATTCATTGTCGTTCACAGCTAAGTGCTTAAAAATTATACAACTAAATAATGTCAAAATTTATTTCTTGAGTGAGTAACGTCTCTTTGAAGGAACTATTTCATATAAATGGGTAGTTGTATTGTATCAAAACAAATTATTGAAGATGACTTTCCAGAAGTTAGGGTTTTAAGTTATTAATCGCATCGGAATTGTTAATATAAAGAGTTATGCTTATATTTAACACTTACTAGTAATATTAATATTCATTCAAATTTATGAACAAAGAAGCTTTACATAAATTGTTTAATATTATTTTAGATTTAACTGTGAAAATACTTTATTTGACTGAAACTCTATGTGTAAAACTATCACTTCGATAATAACTACGGAATATTGTCAATTAAAAGTTACACTATGTTATTTCGTGCTTGATGTTTAACATACAATTTTTTGTCCATAGTTGCATCAATTTGATATTGGCAGATTTGATTATCAAATAAGTCATATATTCGTAAAAATATATAAATTGATTATTATGCGAGCTACGAGGTCTGGTGGATTTCCGTTTGATCTCTTATGGTGTATGATTACAACAATAAATATACATACTAGCGATCATATTTTAGGTAATTTGATTTGAGTAGTTAAACATAAGGTTTACATTCACAGTTATCTTACTGTCAAGTATACTGTTAAATTCTATTAGTTTAATATTTAGCATGTATGGGAAAAATCTAGAAAAAAGAAATGCTTCTGTGTAAAAACCTGGATTTACTAATCAGTTTTGTTTTTTATCCTCAGAATTATTTGTGCAAGTATTGTTTAGCATGCTATGTTCTGCATATCTACCCAAGCTCCGTATACTATCAGGTTGAAGCAAGAGATTATATATTTAAATATCACTATTAAGATTTGTTTTGATAATTAGGTAGGTAGATTTTAATCAGAGATGAATGGTGGCTAGCAGTGGAATCCATGACGCGCATTTCATTTTATTTGGGACTGGTCAACTGGATGCATATATGCCAAAAGAGACTTATCAATTGTGATTCTAAACATCAATGGGAAGATCCAAGCAACCAATATATACAAATTAAAATTAGGTAGATTACTTATGACAAAAATGATATACATTTAGATTCGAAATGTTCTAATAAGTAGAAAAAATGCATTTCTGACAAGAAGACTAAATAATCTAAAAGAACTTTTTAAACTATAAAGGAAGAAGGGTCAGTAGCTAAAGCATTTAATACAAGCTTGATTTCTAATATGTTCAACAGAAAAAGAGGTATTTGCTGTCCTAACAACTTGAACAATCCACCCAAAATATCATCATTTGACAACTATTTGAATCATTTCTGTTCTTCGGGATATTTGCAGATACATATTATTTATTACAGGTCACTTACTTCGAATCTGTTCATTATTTTTATTAAATGAAACTAGTAAAGTTTACAAATGAAAGAAACCATTAATCATACATCAACATTTTCAAGGTAAATATCATCCAATAAATTACCTGTAGATTATTATATTTTTCTTCAATATTGATACGTTCTTCCTCTTTTTCTTTTAATTTTTGATGTAATTGTTCCGCACGTAATTGTTGTTTTTGTAATTCAATCGCTGATTTTTCTAATAATTTTTCTTGTATTTCAGCTTTTTCTAATAAATTTTCACCTCCAACAATTATGCGACTTTGTAATGCCTCCATACGTTTCGTTAGATTATTACGAGTTACTTCAACTTGTCTTAATTCGTTTTCTTTGGTCTCAAGATGTTTCTGTTATTATTTAACAATAGAAGTATGAATATTCAATGTGTTTGAACTAATTTTAATTTGTGAAATGGAAGAAATTGTTTTTCTTTGTTATAACAGAACGAATATTGGGAAAGTTGAAAATCTCTTAGCTATTTTCTGGATTGTTACTAATTATATCTTTGTTGCATTATTAATAGATACATTCCTATGTTTTCCTTATTGTAAACGTCCAGTGGACCTTTTGACTGTTGTTAGATATTTCACCGTTCCTTAATTATTGCCGATTGATTATGTAATATTTTCTTCTACCACTTATGGGAATTACTTGTATGGAGTGTTGTATGATTAGGAATTCTCAGCATATTATTACATGAGTTCTCAGACAAGATCATCGTCTTCTGATTGGCCCTGGGTTAGAAAGGGGTTCGATAACCAATAAGCGCTAGGGCTTTGGTTGTCGTTCATTGGTTGTGTAGATTCGTAAAATTGGTCACTGGTCCGACTAGCAATATGGTAGGTGATATCAATTTGGAATTCTCAAGTCTTAACAATCCCATACTTCCCCTTTCTTGAAACAAAAGTTATAACTTGAAAGTCTTATACTTTTCTGTTTTTTTTGGTAACTCGTGACTAGTCGAGTACAACCTCGTCAGAGTTTAAATGGATGTCAGCGACAGTCGTTTGATATGACGAATTAAATGAGGTATGAAGTGTAGACCACCGGGTCCTGACTTAGTGGTTCGAAGGTAATACTGCTCACTAATAATTCTGAAGGTTCTGGGGTAGCATGTTTATTGCTGAGAAGTCCCTTACTGGGACAAAATAACTACCTAATAGAATCGTTTCGCTGGTTTAATATGATTTCTCATTGAGTAGCACTTTATGTCGTTTTAAGTGATAAAATTTGTTTTCTTTTGCAGGGTTAACAATGTCCTATCATTAATTTACAAAGTCTTCAAACATGCTGACAAATTAACAATTAGGATTTGTCAATGATTGCTGAATGCAAGTTTCAGTGATTCTAATGTAGATACAACTGATTTACCTTAATTCACTGTTATGAGTAGTAATGTTTCCTGTAAATGTGTTTAACCAGATAAAATAATGCATGTTATACCACATTAGAGTGAAATATTATTTTTATATAAATCTATTTCTTTAGTCACATAGAGAAAATAGGTTGTGGTGCTTTTTCGGTTATTGTCTTTTGAATGAACTATGATCTACTTTATCGACGTAAAGTGTGAGGTTCTTTTTCTCAAATCTCTAGACGTTTTTTATCTTATTAAATGTCTGGTTATTTATGATGATGAAACTTTACTAGTTTAGGCATTCATGATTTTGCGGTAGTTCAAGAAGAAAAATGTTTTTATAATTTTACGTAGAGTAATTTTTATTATGTTTTAAAACATTTATTTATCCAAGACAAAGTCTTGTACTTTTGTACTATAAAGGTCGACTCGATTGCTGTTGAACTCATCTTCAATTTCAAAATATTAGGTTCTATCCGTACCAATCGATCATATAGCATTAAGGATTTTTAGGTTGTATGATCCATGATACTAATAGAATTCTGTCGATTCCGTTGCAATGTGACTGCCAGTCTAAGTGACTTGACATCACAGTACACCGTACTTGATATGTTAGGTAATAGGAAGAAAACAGAAATAAATCCTAGACATAGGTTTCGTGTGTATTTGGACTTGTTAAACAAATTTGTGATCTCGAATAAATTACTACGGTTTCATATTCACAACCTACCCTAGTATGAATAAACACAAAAATATCATATACGTATTCGAAAAATGATTAAAGGTCACCTGAAAGACAGAGTTCTTGTTAATTTACCTGAATACGGTTTCGTTCCTCTATAGCCATATCTTTCTCTTCTTCTAACTTACGTCTGTCAGCTTCAATCATACGTTGAATTTCAGCCATTTTTTGTTTACTCAGTTTTGCTGTATTTCCTTTTGATTTCTTCAATCTGTTTTCTTGATCATTGTGATCGATTGTACCATTTCCATTATTATCATCATCACTATCTTTTTCTTCCGCATTTGTTGGGTCTGAAGGTATGCCACCTTGAAAAGCATGTTATTTTTTGTAGAAATGGAAAAAACATCAACATACTTCTTTTCTAACTTCTTATTACAGTAGGATTATATACTTGGATTATATAATAAATTAAACTCTTCATTTCACTGTACTAGCTTTTGATATACTTATACAAACTTCTTGAATTCAGTTTAGAGCTTTAAAATGATAGTGTAGCTTTGAATTTTCGTTCATTAATTGAACAGATTGTCACCAACTTATAATACGTGGTTGTTTTTAACTGCTTGATTAGGGAAGGGTTGGTATAAGCTGAATGAATAACGTGTTTCGTTAACAGGTTTTGTAACAAAACAATCTGTGTTACACGATAATTAGCTCCCATAGCAAAATCCAGAGAATGTAAGGTTATTTATGAGCAGAGGTTGCTGGAAAGTACTAATCACAAGAGCAACTTTATAACTGAATTGCTTCTAACAGCAAGTCGGACTCTTACATGTACGATACATTAGAGAAATACAACTACAAGTGAACACTTTACTAAGTGATGCTCATATTATTTGAATATTGTAGTGGTAAGACACATTTCTAATTACGAACATATCCATTGATATTTTATTGAAGTTTCTAAGAAATACACTAAATCTAAACTTATTGGTTAAAAACTATTCAATGTACGAACTGTTATTTTACTTCGTTTCCCAAGTCATAGTCCTCTACGATCTTTATTCAAGTACTTTTCTATTTAAGAAATTTACTGCTTACTTTATTGAAGGTTTATATTTAGAACAACGTCACACAACGAAGTGACATGTCAGGTGTGAACAACGAAAATTTCGGGATCATATGTTTAAGGATTAATTAGACGTTCATGGATTATTATGAGGGGGAAAAGTTGTGTTTCTCTATTTGTAAATCTTTCTTTTTATTTACCTTCTTCCAACTGTTTACGGAGTTGTTCAATTTCTTTTTGGAATTGACGTAGCATTGCATCTTTTGGATCTTCATTTATCTTCGCTTTATTCTTTATATTTTTTGCCCGATTTGCATATCTTAATGTACTCAATGATTCATCAAAATTATAATCGGCCGGTGATATGTTTGCTATCTGAAGTTTAAAATTGTCGAGAAAAGGTGTCGAATGATATTATTACATTAATAATAATTGCAAATATTTATATCTTATGGAAATAGATAGTTACTTTGGAAGTACTGTAATAATATAAGACTTCTCAGTAATAATGAAATAGTTTTGAATGACTATAACTTGTGGACTGCGTGCCTTGTTAATGTATAACGTAATAATACCGACAATCAGAGAGCAGTGAATTATCGATCGGACCAAGGACGCGTAAAACACGTGCGAGTAACCTAGAGATCTGATTAGGCCTGGTTCCTACTAAGCCCAGACAGTTGAGTCCTGAACACCAATCACAGCTTCTGCAATATGAATCATTTATTTCAAACATACTGAGTTTATATACCAATCAAACAGACCACAACGTACCATAAAATAGAAAATAACATTTGTACAAAATCTGGCGAAATGTGGCTGTGAATGTGGGATGCAGTGACTAATAGACAAGGCATGATTCAAGAATGGTAACAATTATATTAATAGTTCATAGGTCAAAATAAAGCTTATAATAAGAGGAATATGAATATGAATAGTTTAGTTATTTAACAATTATACGATAAAAATACACGTTTAGTATTGGTCCATAAATGGATCTCAAAGTTACCATTCATTATGCTTATCGGGATCTAACAAGTTTCGAGGTGAAGTTCTAGTGAGAAACTGTTAATCGATTAGGTTCAACAGCAGGCCACTGGATGATAGGTGTATAACACATTTGATTCCAACTCAATCGTCTAAATGCAGTGTACTTGTCCAGATTCCAGAATTGCTTGGGTTGAATTACAACAATGTATCAGTTTGAATTAGATTGTTTCGAAAAAAAGCGATCTGCATATTCAAAAAAGTCTTCATTCTGCATATATATTTAGTCATCTAATTAATTAAGCTCGACAATTATAAATTTTGTGATATTGTGTAAAAACTTATCTAGAATTGGATAGGTATTGTTTATTATTACCATGGAGTTATACTACAAATCTCTTGATTTAGCTATATTACATTGGTCTAATTAAATTATTCACAAAAGTTTTAACATTTATTAGCTCATCATAATTGTTTCAGACACCGAATAATAAGTTAATTTTTGTGTTTGTTAAGACATGTGTTTACCTTTCTGGTATATTTTGCACACAGATTTTCATGAGCAGAATTAAAACCCCTATATAACTCCACAACATAAACGAACGAATTCATCTTAATAACCATTTCAAAAACTACTATCACTAAAACCATTTTAGTATTTTAATACTTATTATTAACTCAAGTAAAAATGAATGAATACATATGAAGAGTAAAGATATTTTACAAGTGATTTTACCATAGCAGTTTTAGAATTTCCACCTAGTGAATCTTGTAATAGTCGGGTTAATTTGGAATTACGATATGGTATGTGTGTTGATTTACCATCGACCAATGCAGAAATCACATTACCCAATGTAGTTAACGATAAATTTATCTTATTCGCCTCCTGTAAACGTTTTCCAGTTGCACCAGTTTTTGCTTGTCTTTCAGATCCCTAAAATGTTGTATACAAAGAGCTAGAATGTATGTTTAAAGAGTACGGTTGTTTTAATAATAATAATAATAATAATAATAATAATAATAATAATAATAATAATAATAATAATAATAATAATAATAATAATAATAATAATAATAATAATAGTAATAATAATAATCGTGACAGTAATAATAATAGTGATAGTAATTATGATAATGATAGTGGTAATCATTATGACTGTCTATAAAAAATTAGTTTACTAGCAAACTGGTGAGGTACATTTAATCGATTATTATATACAATGAAATTTGAGATTCATATACATAAATATATTGTCAGTCAGTCAGCTACAACGTAGGACCAGGCACATATGTGCATCGGTCCAGGTTGCCATACCTCATTAGCACAGCAAGATGAATAGCGGATTCATAGGAGTGGTTAGGTCAAAGGTTGCAATAAGGATATAGTATAGGAAGAAAGAATTAGTTCGTAGACAGAAAGAATGAAGTGATTTTAGTCTCTTAGTTTAAGGGAAGACAGGGAGTGTATACACCGACGCCATTGTGATCGATTCTGAGCCATGTCACCAAGAGTCTCCAACCATTGGTTATGAAAGTCACGCGGACCCCAACCAAGTAGTCTGCATCTACCAACATGGCTCAGACTAGAAGTTAGTGACTTCAGGCACTGATGCCACGTTTTGGTTTGGCCGCCCCTAACTTTCTTCCAACCATCCCCTACCCCGGTTAGCATTGCACGTCGTGGTAATCGGTGTTCAGGCATACGTAATAAGTGGCCCAACCATCTCAGTCGATGAAGATTCATAACCTCATCAACTGATTTACCATCATTCCCTAATACCCTGCGTCTAACCTCACTATTACTTACCCGGTGATCCCAGCAGATGCCAGCAATATTTCTAAGGCAGCTGTGGTCAAATACTAGTAGCTTACGGGTGTCTTCTACTCTTAAGGGCCATGTTTCGCTGCCGTAAATTAAAACAGAACGAACTGCCGCGCAGTATACTCGTCCTTTTATTGATAGACAGATATCTCGCCTTCGCCAAAGGTGACGTAAGTTGGCAAAAGCCAAACGAGCTTTTCGAATCCGTGCTGAGATTTCGTCAGACACCAACCCATTAGGGCTGATCAGACTTCCAAGATAAGTGAAGTTGTCAACGCGTTCAACTACTTCACTCCCTATCCTTAGTTCAGGTGTTGACGGAGACCAGTCCTGAAGCAACAACTTGCATGTAGAGGGAGAGAAGCGCATTCCAAACATTCTGGCATTGTTGCTTCGTGTTACCAAAAGACTCTGCATTCTATCAGCGTCTTCACCAAACAGGACTATATCATCTGCGTATTCTAAGTCGATAAGTGAACCTCCTGGAAGGAGATCAATACCCGAGAATTCAGTCGACGAGAGTGTTATTTCCATCAATAGGTCTATGATGAAGTTAAACAAAAATGGAGAAAGTGGACAGCCTTGACGGACACCACTTGAGGTTGCAAAAGTAGATGACAGTTCGCCATAAGCCCTGACTCGACTAGTAGTGTTCGAGTAAAGAGCCTCCACAAGGTTTATGTACTTCTGAGGTACGCCTTTCAATGACAGACACTGCCACAGAGTCTCGCGGTCTACCGAGTCAAATGCTGCTTTTAAGTCAAGAAATACCACCATCGTCGGACGCCGATAGGTATGCCTGTGTTCTAGAACCTGACGAATGGTGAATATGTGGTCGATGCAGCCACGACCAGGTCTAAAGCCAGCTTGGTTCTCTCGAGTTTGTAGTTCACGAGTCTTAGTTAGGCGTTTGATAATTATCGAGGCCAGTATTTTAGATACTATGTTTGTTAAACTAATCCTTCTATGGTTGTCACAGGATGATTTTGACCCTTTCTTATATATTGGGACGATAAGTGATTGCGACCAGTCAGTTGGGATAAAGTCTAATTCCCAGATCTTAGCTAAAATATTAGTAAACTTAATCGCTAAAATTGGACCACCATCCTTAAAGACCTCTGGAGCCAATCCATCTGCCCTTCCTCGTTTCAGATTAACTATAGCCTTTTGAACTTCAGCAAGAGTTGGGGACCTATTTCAATGTTCCATTCACACTGTCTGGGAATGGAGGGTAGTTGTAGAGTAGCTGAAGGCCAGCTGAACTGTTCCCTAAAGTGTTCCGCCCATCGTTCTAAACGCCTGGACTTGGAGCAGATGAGTGTATCGTCTTTTTCCGATATAATCTCACTTACACTTGACTTATTAATTCCAGTTTCTTTTATTAGTCTGTAAAGCTGTCTTGTGTTCCCTATAGTCGCCGCCTTTTCCATCTCTTTTGCTTTCGATGCCCACCACTGCTCACGGTCGTTTCTTAGACTTTTTCTTAACCTAGATCTGATTTGTTTTCGCTCTTCATCATGTTCAGAACCTGATGGGACGAGTTTGCGAGAATCCATCAGTGTGACAGACCTTGAAGAAATCCACTGGTTCCTTGCAACTCTGTGGTTCAAATCACTAACAGATGTCACTGCTGTTTCCACAGCTGCTTGTATATCTTTCCAAGCAATATCTGAGTCAGCCTCGTTTTCAGAACTACCTAAGTGTGACCTCAGTTGTTCCTGGGACCTACTTTTGGTTTTCTCGTCACTCAATTCAGTTCTAATGGGTCTTTTTGGTGTGGTTTTTTTGCGTCCAGTGAGGCGCAAGCAGATGCGTGCCTGCATTAGGGCATGGTCGGAGTCCAAGCAGGTACTTTAGAATGAGCGACAACCTTCTATCGACGCTCTCCAACGATGACTGATGGCAATATGGTCTATTTGAGTCCATCGTTGGTTTGGTGTAGGGGGTCGCCATGTTAGACGATGTCTCTTCTTATGCTTAAAATTTGTGTTTGCTAAAAATAAACGATTGTCTGAGCATAGCTGCAGCAGACGATCACCATTATCTGTTCGCTGTGTCGGAATACTAAAATATCCACCTAAATGCCTTTCTGTTTGGTTTAAACTGCCTATCTGAGCATTAAAATCACCTGCTACGAGTACTATGTCTGAGCGTTTAGCTTTCTGAAGAAGTTCGGACAGCTTTCTGTAAAATTCATCTTTCACATCATCTGAGCTGCAGTCAGTGGGAGCGTAGGCAGAAACGACAAAAAGGCAACGACATGTGTCCCTATCCTTCCGAATTCTTACGTAGCCGTTCAGCCGAACAGCATATAGACGACTGTTGACGGGGATCCACTCTAGCAGTGCTTGTTCGGCCCTCATGCTTAGTGCTATGCCTACACCTGCCAGTCCACGAGAACTTGCCATCGGGTCACCAGATACACGAAGGGTGTACCTCGTTGGCTCTCCGTTTTGCCGAGGTGAGGTCAAGTGAATGACCACACTGGAATCCTGTATGTGTGTTTCGGAGACACAGCATACATCAATGGAAAGAGACTCTAGGGTTTTAGCCAAGGAAGCCTGCTGACCGATTTGACATAGGGTTCGTACGTTGAAGGCTCCAATGTGTAGTTTGGAGCGAGGTTTCAGTAGACCTGGGACAGTATTTTGCGCACTAGAATCGTTGGCTATGGTGACACTTGAGGTGGAAGCCGAGAGGGGAAATTTAAAGTTGAAAGTCGATGTAGGAGGAATAATAGGAAGTGAAGACGGAAGTTGATTATGAATACAGTGGTCTTGAGTGCTGTTAGAGGTATGAGGGCGGTTATCACTTCCCGGTTGCCCACACCGTGGAAGGGTTCTTCTGGAGGTACCTGAAAAGGAATTTGGATTAAAGGTGGTCTTAGTGACCTGAGAGCGTGACCGCAGTGCCCAAGGGACAACTGCTTGAAGTCGGTCACACACGACCTTGTTATGGGTAATTTTTGTGTTAGCTCCGTACTTATTGAGACCTTACCGCCGGAGACGGATATCCGTGGGATAAGGCGAGGTGTGCATTTTTAGGGTCGACCTTTTCTAACCCCACCCCTCCTTGTGGAAAGGCAGCATCGCTGTGATGCTGGTTGTCTGAAGGAAACACCTTACTGCTGTCACACCTCTGTACAGTCAGCAGTACTACTTCGCCTTCGGACCTTGGGTTTGTTGCTTTTAGTCTTACCGCTCTTCAACCGACCTGTCTGACATGGTAGGACCTTGAGGAACGGTTGTTCCAGCCAGTATAGCTCGGTTGCTTCATCACGATGGGTAAGCCCGACCACCACGTCAAGGTAGCAACAACGGTCGGGACATAAATATATTGACTGAACCATTGTTTTGAAGTACTTGCGGAACTAACATAATTCAATCAGTCTTCGCAAATATATCATTTTTTTCACTTAAAACATTTATGCTGAAGGATTTCAGAATTGATAACTTTTTCAACGTTCTTGGAACGTAAAGTTGCTTAGCTTTATGGTCGATACATTTTGTCATTAAACTCACAGTAGTCTTACCTTAATATAGTATGAAGTAATTTTATAAAATGATGGCATTGCTTAATGCCAATTTATCTACACTATTAGGTGATGTGAAAACGGGAAAAGATTGATTTGGCAGTAGTTCATAACTAAATTTACCGTAAGCTATATCCAGTCATCCAAACAACAGATATCTGTACATATCCAAACAATAACAGACGAGAATAATGGATGGTAACTGTTGAGATCTACTTATGGACTGGTACTATACATATATTCTTAGTGTATAATTGTTAAGTAACTAAACTATATATATTTATATTCCTCTTATTATAAGCTCTTAATTGACCCACTTTCTAATGCATATGATTTACTATTCTCAAGTTATTGTCAATCTATTAGTCACGGTTTCTCATAATCACAACCACTTTTGGTTTGATCTTGTACAAATGTTATTTTCCATGTTATGGTGTGATGTGGTCTGATTTTGCTTGTATGTAAATCAAGTATGTCTGAAATATATGATCCCGACCGAAGCTGCTACCTTGACGCGGTGGTCGGGCTTGCCTATCGTGATGACCCGACCGAGCTATATTGGCTGGAACATATGTTCCTGTAGGTTCTACCATGCCAGGCAGGTCGATTGGAGAACGGTAAGACTAAAATCAGCAACTCAAGGTCTGAGGGCGAAGTCGTACTGCTGACTTTAGAGGGGTGTGACGACAGTAAGGTGGTTTCCTCGGACAACCAGCATGACAGCGATGCTGCCTTCCCACAAGGAGGGGTGGGGTTAGAAAAGGTCGACCCTAAAAATGTCACACCTCACCTTACCTCACGGATTTCCGTCTCCGGCGGTAAGGCCCTTTGAAGAACGGAGCTAACAAACTAAAAACCTTTCACGAAAAGGCCGTGCGCGACCGGCCTCAAGCAGTTGTCCCTTGGGCTCTGTGGTCACGCTCCGACTTCTTTTTCAGGTTCCTCAAGAAATACCCTTCCACGGTGTGGGCAGCCGGGAAGTGACATAAGCCCTCATACCCGTAACAGCACACGAGACCAAGTTGGTCACATTCAAATCCTTCCTACACCTCCTAATACCTCTCTTATCTCCATGACTAGCCCTCCTCACGTCTCTTTATCACCTCGCACCGCTAGGGCAAACGATTCGAGTACGCGGAACGCTATTTCTGGTCTCCTGAAACCACGCTCTAAACTACACGTAGGAGCTTTTAACGTACGAACACTGTGCCAAATAGGACAGCAGGCTGTAATTGTAATAATTTACTTGGTACATTCAAGAAATCTCATCGATTACGCGAATGTTAACATCATCAAATATTAGTAACATTGTGTTCCTAGATTGCAACAGACAATTCTTTATGAAACAGTAAAAGGTAATGAATAAGATGGATATTAACATGTAATTTAGGTAGGATTTATGCATGTGAGCGATGTATCCACTATCTTTGATCGTTGTTTACTGACTAGGTAAAGTACAGCTCTTCAAACAGATGAAACAGGAAGTTATTACATGTATTTCATTTTCTATGTCGAGAACAGATACAAAAATACCAGTTTTTTTATGTTTCGTAATCTATGGATATTAATCAGAACACCATGTTTTCTTAAGGTACTTACTAGGTAGAAATACAGTGGCCGCTTATTTGGGATTCATTAATCACCTATTACAAAAAAATATTATTCCTACTAATTATTTAAAGAGTGACCCTATTTCGTAATTGATAAAGGAAAAGTTTGAGAAGAATTTTCCATAAGTTTCAACTGTAGTGATACTCATAGTTGTGGGATTTCCAAATTGATTTGATTGTTTATTGTTGTACACCAAAAGATTATCTGTGTATATAGCCAGTTTATTGTCAGAAATTAAATTAAGCTATTTAAAACTCTACTTACAGCCAAATCAACTAAGTGTAATTTCCCTTGACGAAGTAATGTTTTATTCTTCTCCGAATGTTCGCTACATTCAATTGTTATTGTATAAATTGCATGTGAACGTGAACTATGCTCGTTCATATTAGTTGCACCAGTTACACCTTTATAAAGTAAGAAACAAAAGTAATATAATTAGGAATTCAGTAAACCAAAGAAGGCTGAAAAACTCCAGTATAATGTGTTTTATCTGATGAATGGGGCAGAATTGAACACGTCACGTAAAGTTGCACAATGTCAAGATAAGTGAAGGGGTTAGGGATGTCAAATAAACTGGAGCACATCGCTTGAATTCCAGTGTTGAACGAATAAGTTTGTATAACCATACCGATATCTTTTGCTGCATTCATGCATTATATTATTTGTCTGACCCGTGAATACTTAGAAAGAACTGGGTTTTTTTTAGCTTATTTGCGAATTGTCATAAACATGTCTCACTTTCATAAAGTCTACCGCTGAAAAATTTTTCGGTAAAAATTTTATAGATCAAGTTGTTTAATGAGTATACAATAGAAAACAAAATGAATAATTCCAAGATTATGAGCATGATTTAAAATGTCGAATTATCGACAATAAGTCGGTGAGTTTGATTTATATTAGACGTCTAGTTTATTCAACAAAGTTACAGTCATATACTTCTGCCTCCAACCAACTATTTGGAATATTGAACGACATGTGAAATATTTCGTAAATTTCCATGCCACGATATGAAACTTGTACATAAGACAATAACAAGGCTATGAAATAGAAGTTGGTCCGCATAGATGAACATATTCTGAAACAGCATTTAGAAAGCGATGGAATCATCTTTATGATTTGCTCGTCTCAATCTGTTCTTATTTATTCCAATATAATGTGCTCAAACAGACAGTTGATTAATGCTGTTAATTTTCTTGATTAGTTTTTATCCATCGTAAACTTCTTTTTAACTTCAACACTAATTACTCAACGGTTCAATAATATATAAATAAGTCTGATAAAAAAAGATCGGTAAACAAATTGACCATGGTTGTTTAAACGTATTTTATTAGATATATATGATATATTCATTTGTATTATTTGTTTGAATCTTCCCAGTGATGTTTAGGACTGCAATTGATCAGTCTCTAATTGACATATGTGCATCATATGCGTATTTTCTTGATTATTGCCTTAAGTTACAAGCATATTTGTTTATAATGCTTGTGACTTAAGACATAATTGAGGTAATCCGCACAGGATGCACATATGTCAATAAGAGAATGATCAATTACAGTCCTAAACATCAGTAGGAAGATTCAAACAACCAATGCACGAATGAATTAAGCTTCATCTCATTGCACAAGCAAGTGACTATCTAGACTCAGTAGATAGGTGGATAACGCGATGGGGTATTGGGTTCGAGTCTCGGAGTGAACATCAACTCTGTGATGCAGGTACATTCGGCCGACAAATCTAAAGTGGGACGAAATGTGCGTCCTGGATTCCAGTGCTAGCCATCATCCATCTTTTCTTATATATATTGTATAGCAGTAAAATTTCCCATCAGGAAATTAAATGTCCTGATTAATCCTACTTTAATAAAATTGTGATAAAATCTTACGATTTTTGTTTCCGAACGACATCAATTTATCCATTTCATTTGGGGAGTGTACAACAAAGGAAGATAGATTTTTAACATACACACCAATATCTGGTCTCTCCTTAACATCCAAACGTGCAAATTGATCTTTTCCAAGAAGATCTCTAACCTATGGAGTAAATAAAAAGACTAGTATTATACATGATTTTATAAATAAAGTATTCATTTCGACAGATATCTTCTCCGATTTAACAGCAACAAATTGATATTCGGTTAATTATCAAAATAAATATCTTTAACATGGATAGAACAATGTTTATAATAACCGATAGACTATGTATATTAATATGTAATCAATACAAACGTTTAAAGGATGTTTTGTTTGTGAATAGATATTTGCATAGAAAAATGAGTTAATAAAGGTAACATAATCAGAATGCATGATTGTAGGTGACTGTTTGGATTCTGAAAAATCAGGTGGTCCAAATCAGATATTGAGTTCCATTCAGTTTAGTACTGAATTCTAGATTTGATTTGAGGAAATTCTTGTCTTGTCAAAACTGGTAGTGTCGGTAAAATCATTTCAAGATGTAAATAAAATAATTTATATTAGTTGCCACTTTAAGTACTTTTTATCATGACTTTGCTAATTGGTTTACAATTCAACAAATCACAGATATCAGTATCACAAAAAATAAAAATTTATGGTGTTTCAATCAAATTGCGTTTTTTTATTAATACCAGTAGCTACATATACAAAAAAATATATCAGTGGAAGCTATGGATGAAAAGACTTTTCGATACGTCTTGAGTAAACAGTTACTAAACTGCTTAACGATTATGATGTTCTAGATTAATGAATAAATCTATAAATAAGAGGTAGCGATGAAATCACTTGACCATAATTTTTCATTATATACGATATTTTCTAGTCTAATCAACAGGTAGTTAATTGGTTAAATGACTTGAAAGCTTTATTCTCAACGTCGATGAAGACAGAACACGTTTGTTGTAATGGAAGACAAAGCAAATAAGCTTGAGGTTTGCAGACAATTGAGTAAAATCATCTAAGCTATAAAGTAAATCTCCGATGAAGAAGAAAAAGGAAAGTAATCTTTTTGATATGTAAATGCGTGATCGGTAATTAGACGTTTACCAAAGAAAAATAGACAGCACCACAAAAATTCACATAATTTCGAACCTTTTTAGTATAAGAGTTATTATTTGGAAATTCTTGATAAAATCTATATGATGAGAAGATTCAGATAAAGAAAAATCGAAAGCTTTAAATAACACTTCAATTAACAATGAATTTCTGGAGGAACCTGTAACGAGGAACAATGGACAGAGATAGAAAAAAATACTGTTCTCAAAGTATAGAAGAAATGAACATTTTATAAATAAGCAAAAGCCCAAGGGTTTCTATTGAAATACATAGCAATACAATATTTTCTAAAATACCATATTTGTTCGCTTTTAGTTTACGTTTTCTAGTGCCTAATATATAAATAACGCCAAAATAAGTCTTAAGAACAGTAAAAATATCAATCAGTAAATGGAAAACGTCATGTTGTAAGCAATTACAACTGTTAATGTAATCTGGTGGACATAAGTCACGCTGTTATTACTGAATCTGCTCAACTAAACCAAGGGAGATTGTAAAGAAAGTTTGGTTACCGAAATCATAATATTATATATATATATACTACCGTGTGGCCTTGCTTAATATGGAGTGCATATGTCACTAGACTGGTGAATAACATCCGGGCGCTGTGTTCCTCACAAACACTTTTAAATTACTTCTGAAATTATTTGTTGCGTTTCTATTGAAATACTAAAATGATAATCTAATTAGCCATATTTTCAGGGATGGAAATGGACATTCAAAATGTAACTATCGATCTGTCAGCTCAACTCGTATAGTAGCATTGATCTTAAAAAACTAGTCCAGACTAGGCTCAACTGTAACATAGAGTAACAAAATTTGCCGATAGAAGCACAAAATGGTCCTACTAATGGCCATTTTTGCCTGACAAACGTTCTTATTGTGAGAGGGGACTAATTGGTGACTAAATTTATTTGCCTTTTTGCTGATAACATTCACAAACTTCCGTAAAGGATTTGATGGGGCGTTTGTAATGTAGGACTTACGGAAAAGCCTCTTAAATTCAAGGTGAAAGATTGATTTAGAAATATTATCTTTCGTGGAAGGTAGAGAGTGAGAGTATATTAGATGGTAGTTGGACAAAAACCTGTAAGAAGTAGATCCCAGCGGGGTATAATCTTAGTACTCTTGGTATTACTTACGTCAATAAACTGTCATTCCTAAGTAAATCTTCTCCAATCTTGTTTGTGAATAGTCTATAAACGTACAAAACAATACGTAGTTTTAAGATTGAGCTCAAAGTTGATGTAGATTAGTTAATCAGATGATTCAAAGGTTGGTGCTCAAAAATTAATTCTAGCAGTCGTTCATTAGTGGACATTAGTTAAAACGACATTCACCAGTACATCATCGATGTGACCACATTGACACAAGTCCTTGAACAAAAGTTGTAGACATTGACTTCAAAATGAACATGCAATACAATTCAACAACTGTTACAGTATTCTGCATACGTTCATAAAATTTAAGGGTATTCTCCCTAAGTAAGAATTTATGCGTCAAATTTCATCCGATCATGCGGCCTGTTTCACTAAAGATGCTAATACTCTTATGACTATCAAACCAGTGTAGCGATAAATAAATGGCTAAAATAAATAGTTCCTACGTTTTTGACATTGATGCTGACCTCACAAGTTTTACTGCAGACACCTAACTGAAGGTGCTTGGTCATGCATCCGCACCAGATCTCGAGTGAGCACATCGCACTACGCATCCTTTGTAACTGTTGGTCAGCTGACATCAAACGATTCTCAACCTATCAATAGCCTTCCAAAAATATCTTTGAACCCCTTCATTTCTAACCTCTGATTTGACTGGGTTGGTGTTATGTGTAAAGACGTTGTCAAATTTCGAATAACTGTGTCATCTTTACAGGTAAATACTTGGTTGCGGACATAAAATTTTAACAACTAATAATAGAATTAACTAAAATAGCCATTTCTCTCATCCGGACATAGAACGAGATCTCACTTTACAGTTTCATATCATGGTTATTGACTTAGGACCTAGCACGGGATATTTTTCTACTTATTTTGTAATAAACCATTTCTCAATGTATCACACTAGGATCTAAACACTACGGTCGCACGAACGGAGGTTTGGTTTTGACACTCCCATAAATTGGTATGAGAGTGGAACGTTCAATGTAAACATAAAGTATCAGTTTAACTAGTAAAAGTTTAGCCAAAAGTAGAAGTTTTACGAAAATAAAACCCGCAAAGTATAATGCACACCAACCACATTACTGTGTATTACTGAAGAACAAATTATTCACGAAACATTCAAATGCCATGGAAGGTTTCAACAAAATGACTGATATAGTATTTAAAATATGCTCTCAAACTCATAATATCAAAGCCTGACCATAAAACTTACAGAACGATTCCACGTAAAGTTAACACTTAATATTAGACAATGAAACAAAACCAATCATTTATTTACTGTTAAAATAAAAGATACAGTAATTGAACAAATTGAAGGAGTTGGATATGGAAAATGTACAGTACCTCTTCATTATATATCTCCAGATATGAAACACGAACCAGAAATCTCGTATTCGCATCAGCTTTCGCGATTGCCCCAAATATATGGGCAAATGAATTTGGAATAATACCTCTCAGTTCTGGTTCGGACCTGATCCCTTCCATTGTAAATGTTTTTCCAGTACCTGTTTGTCCATAAGCAAATATAGTTCCTTTAGAAGTCAAAAATAGATCTAATGACTAATATTTGAATAAGTACCATTATATCCTTCTAAAACTTTATCAACAATTGGTCTCGCTACCATGTTGTAAATATCAGTTTGTTTACTTCCACAACCGAAAACAAGGTCGAAAGTAAATTGCTTTGGAGGGTCATCACATGAACTTGTGCGCTTTAATATCACACATCCATCCAATTCACTCACCTACAATATGACATAATTTTACACGGATGACAAACAAGATACCGAAATCACAGACTGGCAGTTCATTGCAATTTCTTTTTTATCCATTGGCCGGCACCGCACGGCTACTTTTACGTTGTCCGTTTCTTCTAACGGTTGCATTACTACTCTACAAATGTGAAGCTCAAACGAGTAGCTGGAATTATTCCAAAAGTAAATCCTTCGATAAGATTCGAATAAATTACCAGATTGAAAAACTATCAAGTAGTTGCGATCGACCGACTATATGAACTGGTCAAACTAATCAATCAGTAATTGTTTGATCAAACATCCTTTAAATACAACTATTGCCAATTGTAGTAGTTTGAGTTCAGCCAGTAGTTGCTTTGTGTGCTGGCACTGTATGCAAAGTAGTGTGAGTTAGGGGAGCTGAAAAAGAAAACAAAGAGAAAATGAGCTTGCGACCCAGCAGGCGCACACTATTCACCCAAATTTAATTACCAAGGTAGTGCACAATGAACAGCGATAACAAATGTCTTGAGTTTATAAAATCTGTAAAAAGGAACTAGAGGCAGACAGTGTGAGAATTCTAAAATGCGATATCAACGTTGCAGTAAATAAAGTTGAAAAGACACCGTAGCTAGTAACCTTAATAGCGTAGATTAAAACAAGTTCAATACGTAATCATTATACACTCGTTTTTATAAATTTTATTGATACAAGAAATTTTTAAGCGGTGTAACTATCTTTGCTTCGTAATTTCTGTCGTTTCACCTGCGTTGTTTAGGAAGGACAAATGATTTTAGACGGAATTGAAGCTTTCGCATAAAAGGCTTCTGTGTCTAGTAGCCGTGGATCACCAATACCTACAGACAGCAACCTGGGTATATTACCGACAAAAGAGAAAAACCAAATAGGTAAATCATAGTAAGATACCATCCTTAGTTGTCAACAATAGATCGAGTTTCCTCTCAAAGGACTCCTGGGAAGCCAGTTGGACTAGCTCGTCCGGCAGCGAATTTCGACGTTTGACAGCTCTCGAGGAGTAGAAGTTGTGTCTACAGTCCGTTCTGTTGTGTTGTGTCTCCATTTTATGGGTTTTACTACTTATGTTTGTGTTTTAAGCTAACTTAATAGGTGTTTAGAAGGATATCCAGAAGTATATAAGATGCTGTAAGCCATTAGAAGGTGACCTCTAAAACGCCTGTACTCTTATGTGTAAGGATCTAGTGAATGAAGACGCCCTTCATAAGGCTTGAATTTGAGTCCACGAACTGATTTCGCTGCTCGTCGTTCGATACGCTCTAGAGTAACTTTATCATTTTGGAGTGAGAGAGGAAATACTAAGTTAAGAGAGTCTTCTGAAAAGGAACCAAAGACTGCATTTAAGCACGACTTCAGCTAAATTAAGTCTTTCATAAGCACTTTACTCTTGGAAACAGTTTCAGGAATGAGCATTTGTGGGCTTTATAGAAAAAGACAAAAAGTACATTCTGAAGAACATCAGAAAAACCGCTTAAGTTTACCTTTGCTCCGTCTGAAGAGAGAAAACTAACAAAGGAAACTCACACAATTTGATTTGATCCAGAATATATGTCCGTGAGGGTCTCAGCCTGGCTGACATTAACTATTAATTTAGGAAGTGATCGATGTGTAAAATCTGGTACATCCCCCTTCATCACCTACTGGTCCCACGTAAACGTTGACCCATTCCTTTGAAGAACCTACTATGAAGTGCTGTCAGTATTGCTTCTAGTGAAGAACTTCGGAGCTTACAGACACCAATCACGAAACTTCATTCATGTATTTTCATATCAGCGCCTTCAGGTTCTTTCTAAATTAGCGACTTCTTAGGTCTAAGCTATCGAATCTCGTAAATGATCTGTCGGGGGAAAGGCTGCTGTAAAATACATGTGATGAACCATCTATTTGAGGCTCTGTACAAGAGAACATGTTTTGTTCGGATGGATTTTTGTACTTCCTTATCAGGATATTATTGTGGAATTCAAAAGTCTTTATTCTCAGTGTATTTTTTCCCGTAGTTATTGATGCTCTCTGTACTCAGTTTTTGTCACATAAGGTTAGTCTTACCATTTGGGGTGAAATACAATTTTTCATTGATTTCACTATCGAGGAATTAAGGAACCGTCCACAACCATTAGCTTTTCATCAATTGGATATTGTTTCTAACGTTGGTTATTGCGACGAATCTAGGCGGCTGGAAAGGTTCAATCAGACCTTATTTCGTCACATCGAAAATTTTAGGGGGATTTCACACTTACCCTGGCGCATACATCTTTTAACAAACGCAGGCCCTTGCTAGTCGATAGCAGGGTTGATTTCAAGCAAAACAATGTATCTTGGAGCTGAAGTGTTGATAGTGCTCGTTTTTATCCGATCGTGTTCTTTTTCATTCTTTCAGCTAACATGTCCAGAGTTGTTTCTCTGGTTGTAGCACATATCATGTCCGATATAATGTAGTTAGCGAGATTATGCGTGGAGATCATATCGTTGTCTATATTGACTCTTCCTATCGTGATGTCAGCAACATGCTGTTTAGGCCTTCAGAATTACACATTTGTGGAAACTACACTATCCCTTCAAGATTTGAAGGACGATCTTGATAATGAGTGATCAGAAATGGCGAATCTATATGGAGCTTCCGTACTTCAGATCCAAACGATATAAAAAACAGAAAACTGCTGAAAACTAGGGGTTAAAATATCACTGGTGACCTTATTAGTTATAAGTACCGATTTTTTTAGTCTGCAGATCATTACTGTTGCCAAGATGGACCATGACTTACGGTCCCAATTTTTTAAGTATAACAACTAACCCTTAAACCTCTCCACTCCGTCTCCTAACCTTAAAATACTAATCCTTGAAGTTCACTACAAGAAAAATAACAGCCATTCATTTTGAGATACCGAAATCAAGAGTTTTAGCAACGAGTTATCCAGAATGTTGTGTTATAGGTCCAGTTAGTAGGGGCACTATGTGACAGCATTGAATGCAAAGTAGCGTGATTGAGGGGAGCCACAACGTACCGTTTTGTTTGTACAGTTTTCCACTTCGAGGACAATTTTAATATACCTAAACATTTTATCCGTTTTATCTAGTCTGAGCATTTTGTTTTTTCACGGCCACAAACTTTTGCTAGTACCTATCGAACAAGTCATATTTCAACATGATCATGAAGAGCACGTGCAAAAGATCTGAATGCAGTATTTCTGTCGCCGGTGGTATGCAGTGTGAAAAACGCAGTGGTTCTTTTCACGGCGCACGGACAATCACTGCTTACAATAGACGCAGTAAGTCGCAGATGGGTAAGTGGCACTTGCAACGTGAATGCTAAAGATTTTCGGACCAATACCATAGTTCTACTGACACGTTTGCGAAAAAACCGTCAGCAAGTGTAAAAAACAGTCCTCAGACGAGTAAACCAGCAAAGACGCGCAGTGAAGTAAAGAAGGGCGTCTTTGACGACATTAGTATCGATTAAACAGGCATCACTACTAGTGAGGTTGTAGTGGTATTGGGTCCTAACCACACACTCCTCCAAGCTGAACACGAGAAAACTTGGAAAACTGATGTTCAGTATTTAACGCGAAGATAAACTCAACGATGGAGAAGGCGGGAAGAATGAATCGAGTAAATTCCTACTGATGGAACGGCATGGATCATACTTGCAGGCGCGGTAAGTCTTAAGTCTTGTCACAATCTTTATTCATGTTAAATCTATTATTCTATCTCTAGCTCAATTTCGTTCTCCATCATATATTGGTGATTGTCACGATGTAGTAAGTTGGTGTAGATAATGTCACTTCCACGTATGATTTCATAAATTGGACAGTTACATCATAACAAATCTACTAATTTTAGGATCAGGTTTATTATTAGAGCAGTACTAATATCATAACAGACTATAATTCTACGATTTTATGATGAAACTCAGTGCCACCATAAGGTCGATGATATTGGACTTTCTCTACAAACTTGTGTTCCCCAGAACAGGCTACCTGAATGCCACTATAGTCCTCAAAAATTCTGCAGGCGACTGAACTCTTGTCAACGGGGTTAAAAAGGATCGAATATCACAGTCAAAAACGCTAAACAGCCTGGGTTTTTTAGGAATGCCGACCACGAGATTGGCTTTGTAGTCTTCCAATAAAATTGTTTTGACTAGTTGACAAAGAGCGCGAGAATCCGAAGGACTGTCCAACTGCCAATCAACATGGACCACATTTATATGAACATTCATCAATATTAAGACAAACAGATCGACAAAAATTGAGCACTGAGAATGGAGAGTATATTACATTTCAAAGAATCTCAGTGATCGTAATTTAACTAATCCAAACATTTGGTCTAGATAACATATCCTTATATAAGGAGCCGTAAGTGATATTTTTTCATGAAAGCAGCTTTCATTTTATTCCACCTTCTGTTATAAGTGGATCTATGACAGCCAAGGGAACGTGACAAGTTCACAGTGGCCCTACGTCTACGAACATTCTCACTGACTTCAAAATAACTCATAGTATTGGCCTTACAAGGTAATCAGTTACAATGAACATGAAAATCTGAGAGCACGTCACTCACCTGCATCACGTAAGTTTTTTGTGATGGCTCCAAAGCATGTCGGAACACTTTAGCTAAACAACAAACGAAGTCACTCTATATGCGTATCAACCGAATGCCTGGTTCCGTATTTTGTACATTGTTTCTATGACAATACTTTTGTTTTTTTATTAAGCGGTGCCTAAATTTGTCGAAGTTTATGAAAACTTCAGTTCCCGATGCGGTTCATTCAAACACTGTACGTTACGTAGAACTGTCGACAAATTTCCCCCAAATACACGACGTAAGGGGGAAAAAGCGACATTTCCCCTAAATAACCGACGTAAAGGCGAAAAAGCGACATTTCCCCTTTCGTTCGCTTTATTTCCCCTTTTTGTGTTGCTTGGAATGGTTTAGTGGGATGTCACGAACTTAAGGTTTTAATGCTGATTCATCATGAAAAATACCTTATCAAATCGTGTTACGAACGTTGAATTGATTTCACTTCCTACCCAATAATCCTATTACAAGCAAACAAGAGAATTCGCTAATATACGAAGCCTACTCAAGACCCTATGATACTCAAAAAAAAAATAATTAGA